ATGTTAGAATAAAGGACAGAAACCACACAACAAAACCCAACATCCACCCATAATAAAACCTCTCAATAAACTAAGAATAGAAGGGAACTTAGCCTGATAAAAGTCATCTACAAAAAAACCCCACAGTTAACACCATACTTAATGAGGAAAGAACGAATACTTTTCCCTAAAGTTGGGAACAATGCCAGAGTGTCTGCTTTCACTAATTATGTCTAACATTGTACTAGAGGTCCTAGCTGGTACAATCAGGCAGAGGGATTTTTTTTTTTTTTAATGGACATCAGATTATGTTATTCTGCTCAAAACTCTTTAGTGACTTCCTATTTCACTCAGAATAAAACCTTTCATGATCTGGGTCCCTGTCTACCCTTGTGACTTCTCCATACTTCACTCTTACCCTCTAGCCACACTGCCCTCCTTTTGTTCCTCAAACACAATAAACACTCCTGTTTCAGGGCCTCTAAACTTGCTGAACTCTATGCCTGGAATGTTATTCCCCAAGATATATAGTATAGATAGCTTACTACTTCAGATACTGCATATTTCTGCAGATTTCATTTTCTCACAGAAGCCTTCTTTCATCCCACAGTTCCTCCTTATTCTCTTACCCAGCTTTATTTTTCTTCATAGTATTCATTTATCTGTTTTCCTTCAGTAGAATGTAAACTACAATAGAGAAAACCATTTTCTACACTGGTACATTTCAAACACTTAAAACTATGCCTGGCACATGGTAGACACTCAGTAAATACTCATTGAATGAATGAATGTCTTTAAAAAGGAAATGTTATACAGGAGAATGAATAAAGGAGAGTGGGGGAAAGAACCACTAGCCCAAGAGGCTGAGTAAGACCAGGATTTTAGGTCACGAGGAATGAGCCAACATAAGACAGTAGAGAAACTTGGTTCTCTGGAGCCAGATTCTTCTGGGTTCTAAGCTTAGCTCTTCCAATCACTGCCTACTGAGTCTCTCTCTAAATCTCAGTAATTTATAAAATGAGAACATCTAACTCCTAAGCTGCTATGAAAATGAAATAAATTTATGTGTAGCATTCAGTAACATTTTCTGATACCTCTGGCCTTCAAGAGGAACCTAAAACTACCTTAAAAATTACCTAACTCGCCCTGGCCGGTTTGGCTCAGCGGTTAGAGCGTCCGCCTGCGGTCCGGAGAGACCCGGGTTCGGTTCCCGCTAAGGGCATGTACCTCGGTTGCAGTTTGTCCCCGGCCCTGGTTGGTCGTGCGGGTGGCAGCCACTCGATGTGTCCCTTCACGTCGATGTTTCCCTCTCTCTCTCTCTCCCTCCCACTCTATCTGTACAAAAAAATGGAAAAATGTCCTCGGGTGAGGATAAAAAAAAAAAAAAAAAAAAAATTACCTAACTCCACCTTACTGAAGCACAGGCATGTCTGTAGGGCTGTTGCCCCTAAAAACGAAATGGCCTCCATACTCATTTTAACTTTTCTTTCTTATCATTCCTCTTTCACCCCTTCCCTTACTGTTAGTTCTCAGCTCTCACCCCTAGCTGCTGGTAATATAGGAGCTCCTCCCAGCTTTTTTTTTTTATCCTCACCAAGGACATTTTTCGATATTTTGTTCAGATAGAGTGGGAGGGAGAGAGAGAGAGAGAAACATCGATGTGAAAGGGACACATCGAGTGGCTGCCGCCTGCATGACCCAACCAGAGCTGGGGACAAACCGCAACCAAGGTACGTGCCCTTAGTGGGAACCGAATCCAGGTCTCTCCAGACCGCAGGCCGACGCTCTAACCGCTGAGCCAAACCAGCCAGGGCTCCTCCCAGCTTTTTAATATGCTGCTTTTAATTTTGTGGGGATAAAGAAACCAGACTGCTGAACTTGTTACAATCACCTGTAACAGTAAGAATAAATTAGTGCTGTGCATGGACTTATGGATGACAATGACTTGCTTCCTTCTTGTTTTTCAGTTGGGCTCTACAAAACTGAGGATGTTAGATAAATAAACGCTACGATATGGATATCAGTATTTAATTTTTATTTTCTTTATTGATTTTAGAGAGAGAGGAAGGGAGAGGGAGAGACAGAAACATCGATGAGAGAGAACATCGAATGGCCGCCTCTTGCATGTCCCCCACTGGGGATTAGGCCCACAACCTGGGCATGTGCCCTGACTGGGAATCAAACCAGTGACCTCTTGGTGCATGGGTCGATGTGCTAAATCAATGAGCCACACTGGTTGGGGGACGGGAATCATTCATATTTTAACTTTTTTTATTCTTACCCAAGGACAATTTTCCATTTTTTGTTCAGATAGAGTGAGAAGGAGAGAGAGAGAAATATCGACGTGAAAGAAACACATCAAGTGGCTGCCACCTGCACGACCCAACCAGGGCTGGGGACAAACTGCAACTGAGGTACGTGCCCTTGGAACCGAACTCGGGTCTCTCTGGACTGCAGGCCGATGCTCTAACTGCTGAGCCAAACCGGCCAGGGCAAATCATTCCTATTTTAAAATAGTCAATGGTGGAACTTCTTCACAGGGCAGTTGTTACAAGAACAATAAGATCCAAACTTGGCACCCCGGACATGGAAAATCCAAAAGCCAGAAGCTATTAAGCTTTAGATTAACCAAAGAGAGGTGGCAAGTAAGAGTCTGGAGACTCAGAATAGGAAGGAAGGTTGGCCAACCGAGTGCACCAGGTAGAAGACAGATTCCTTTGTGCACCCTCAGGCAAAGAATGCCCATTGTTACAGAGTGTGAAGAGAGTGGCCTACATCACTGGCCAAGGTGAGAGATGGTGGGGGAACATGACCTCTAATAAGATACGAGGCTAACTCTATGTGTCCCTTTCACATCGATGTTTCTCTCTCTCTCTTATTCTCTCTCCCTCCCACTCTATCTGCAAAAAAAAAAAAAAAAAAAAAAAAGATATGAGGCTACATGCAGAAGTGCCTTTTTCACTAGCAGTTGGTGGGGGAATACTGGGAACCTAGGGTGAAAATAGGAATAGCCTTCCTTTTCTGAGATGACAGTAGGGAACAAGGCAACATATTAGAACTAGTCACTGAGTACAAACACATGCTGGGGATGAGCTCTTGAAAACTGTTTTAATATCTGTGTTGGCAGTGGCCTTGAAGCCAGGCTGTGTGAGTGCATTTAAACCTCCATTCTGCAGCCAACATGCTGTAAATCGTGGTTGCCGATGCTGCCTGGCTTTGTTTCTTTGCTCTGGAATCCCTTCCCCTGTGAAAAGATTGAGCTTTGGGAAGGGCCTGCAGAAGGAGAGGAGAAGGCATAGGAGAAAATTTACAGTGCAGATTTCCAAATAAAAACAATCCCTTTTACCTTTGGGGAATGGAATGGCAAATAGGTCAGGGACTGAGATGTCAGGAATACTTATGCTTTCTTCTCACTTTCTCTCATTTCGGTCATGCTGCTTTACAATTCACAAAGCTTTCTACCTTGCATTTCTCATTTGATTCTCCATAACATCCTGCATGGTTGGTGTACACACAATAGACATGTGGGGCTGTGAGGAAGCACTCCAATTTTACAAATAGAAAAATAGAGATTGTTCAAAGGCAGATGTTGAAAGAGATGACAGCCCTGGCCAGTTTGGCTCAGCGGTTAGAGTTTCGGTCCATGGACCAAAGAGTTGTGGGTTTGATTCCGGCCAAGGGCACGTACCTCGGTTGCAAATTAATCCCTGGCCCCATTTGGGGTTGTGTGCGAGGCAACCAATCTATGTCTCTCTCTCTCTCTCTCCCCCTCCACCCCCCATCCCACTCTATCTAAAATTCAATGGAAAAATATCTTTAGGTGAGGATTAAAAAAAAAAGAAATAAAACCCATGATTCTCAGGTTCCAACCCAGCTCTTCTGTGCTGGCCCAACCATTTATAGGACCCAATGTGTTTAGAGGTGTTTTCTTCTGTATTTAGCCTGGGCCTCTGCCTGCTTAAAGGGTTCTTCCTATTTTTTAGTCTCTTGGCCTCTCACTAGAAATGCCATTGCTCAGAAGGGACCCCCAACTCATCCTTGCCCTGCTAGGTCCCTCAAATAACTGGACCTCCTTTCTGAATCCATAAGGAGGTCTGTCTCCTTGAACTTTATAAGAAAAATTAGAATTCCAGGGAGATTAGCAATCCAAGGAAAGCCTGCCAAATCAGGGAGAACAATGGTATTTACAGTTAGACTGACCTAGCTTCTAATAATACCAGTTTTGCCCAAATGTGAACCCTAGGCAACTTTTTTAGCTTTCTAAGCCTTAATCCCCTCATCTAAAAAATGGTAAATAAGATCCATAACACAAATGGTTCTTTTTAAAAAAATATTTTTATTTTTAATATTTTTATTTAAAATATTTTTATTCTAGAGACAGAAGAGAAAGGGAGAGAGAAATATCAATTGGCTGCCTCCCACATGCCCCTCACTGGGGATCGAACCTGCAACTGGGTATGTGCCCTGACCTGGAATTGAACAAACAACCCTTTGGCACATGGGACGATGTTCAACCAACTGAGCCACGCCAGCCAAGGCCACAATTGGTTCTTAAGATGTTGATTTCCCTTCCCATCTCACCATCTGTTGTCTTCTCTCTAAGCTTCCCCTGACTTTCCCTTCACATAGCTCTACTCTATCACTCCACCCTCACAACTGTTCATGATCACATTCTGCAGGACTGATAAAACTGCAGGATTTTCTAAAGCTGACCTATGGGTTTGGTAGGGCACAGTCAAGACTGAAATCAGGAAAAGTCTTATGGACTATGAGGTCATATTAAGAGAGCTTAGGGGGGCTGCCAGGAAGGATTGAGCCTGCTTTGCCTTATTCATGGAAAATGACCCCAGACATCTCATGACAACTCCAGTAAAGCAAGTTCAATTTTCCTCCCAATACAGGAGGCTATCTATGCCTATCTCTTAGACATGGAATAGGAGAGTAATCACCTATAACTTATAAACCCCAAACTAGTTATACTGTACCTGGGCCCAAGATTGCCCAGAGTTTGCCTCACTCACCGAGGCTGAGCTCAGTCAGCAATATCCTCTTTAGGGTTACAGGGTCCACACAAGCTGCCTCTGGGAACAGGGCTCACCTATAACAGAGAGGGAAGTCAGACAAGGTTTTGCTCAGAACTTAGGTAGGTACAGACATTCAAAGTCCTTGCCCTTGCCCTGGCTGGTGTGGTCCAGTCAGTAGGAGTGTCATCCCACACAATGAAGTGTCATGGGTTCGATATCCAGTCCGGGCATATACCTAGGTTAGGTTTGATCCCTGGCCCCTGTCGGGGTGTGTGCAGGAAGCAATCAATGAATGTTTTCTGTTTTTTTCTTTTCTCTCACTCTCTTTCTCTGAAAATTAATGAAACTGTCCTTGAGTGAGGGTAAAAAATAAATAAAATAAAGAAAGTCCCTAACACCCATTCTCCTCAAGCTATTTCAAAAAATTCAAGAAGGAAAACTTCCAAACTCGTTTTATGAGGCCAGCATAATTCTAATTCCAAAACCAAAAAAGACACTACAAAGAAAGAAAACTACAGACCAATATCCCTGATGAACATGGATCCCAAAATCCTGAACAAAATACTAGCAAATTGGATCCAGCAATATATCAAAAAATTATTCACCATGACCAAGTAGGATTCATTCCAGGGATGCAAGTCCCTACCTTCACATGTCTTGCATCCTAGCAAAGGATAGGTTAATAATTAAATACATAATTTCAGGTCATGCTAAGTGCTATTTTAAAAAAAGTTAAAAACAGCCCTGGCCAGTTTTGCTAAGTGGTTAGAGCATCGGCCCATGGTCCAGAGAGACCCGGGTTCGGTTCCCACTAAGGGCACGTACCTCGGTTGCAGTTTGTCCCTGGCCCCAGTTGGGGTTGTGTGGGAGGCAGCCACTCGATATGTCCCTTTCACATTGATGTTTCTCTCTCTCTTTCTCCATCTCTCTCCCTCCAACTCTATCTGAACAAAAATGGAAAAATGTCCTCGGGTGAGGATAAAAAAAAAAGATTAAAAACAGAGTAAGGGAAGAAAGAATGAGAATGAGGTCTATTTTAGATAAAATGGTCAGAGAAGACTTCTTCAAGGGGTGACCACTGGACAGAGATCTGAATAAAGTGTGGGGTAAGATATGCAAAGATCTAAGGGAAGAGTGTTTTAGAGAAGGAAAATAACATGTGCAAAGGCCCTGAGGCAATAGGCAAAAATAAGTTTATTATACTTAAGCAGAAAGTCAATATAGCTAGAATGTAGCGATGCAAAGAATGAGATGCTAGATATACATGGAGAAACTACTCATTCTCCTTATTTTATATATGAGAAAACTGAGGATCAGAGGTTAGGTAACTTGCCCAATATCAAAGTACATCAGTGTCAGAACTGGGAATGGAACTCGGACCTTTAGGACAACTCTATCTCACTCCTGGGCCAGGGTCTGCCAGGTTTAGATAATCTGGAACCCAGCTGGGACAAAGTTAAGTACTCTGAGATTAGTTTCAGATTTCTCTGATCATCCCCTCCTCTGCTGGGTGAAGATGGTTGAAGAACAGAGAAACCTCTATATATTACCTGGAATGTGGAGTAGACATAATTTTAGGGTAAGGAGAATAGGAGTACATAGTAGGCATTTTTGTAAACCCTTTGTTTATATTAACTCATTTATTCTTTTTTTTTTTTTTTTAATCCTCGCCTGAGGACATTTTTCCATGTTGTTCAGATAGAGTGGAAGGGAGACAGAGAGAAACATCGACTTGAAAGGGACATATCGAGTGGCTGCCACCCGCACAACCCAACCAGGGCCAAGGACAAACTGCAACTGAGGTACATGCCCTTAGCGGGAACCAAACCTGGGTCTCTCTGGACCGCAGGCCAACGCTCTAACTGCTGAGCCAAACCGGCCAGGGCAACTCATTTAATCTTTACAACAATTTTGTAAGGTTGGTGTGTTGTTATATTTCCCATTTTACTAACTGGGAAACTGAGGCACAGAGAAATTAAATAAATGTGCCCAAGTCACAAAGCCAATAGATGGTACACTTGGGACATGAACCCAGGATATTCAACCTCCAGGGCCTGCCCTTCTAACAAAACACTATGCCAATTCTCAGAAACAGAAAAAAATAAGTCAGGAAACATGTGCTCTAATCCTAGCTGACATGGCTCAATGCCCCCATTTACACCCAAGCCTAAGATCCTCTTCATTTACTTGCAGTCCAGGCTTTTTACTGAATACTAGTTGAATGACTCCTGAGTCTTTCAGCCAGGTGGTTCCAGAGGCTTCTCTAATTCTGTAGCTACTGTAATCACAAAGCTATGATGATAACCACAACAACAGCCATTTCACAACCACTGACACCTTACATGTACTATCTTATTTCAGTGAGGGAAAAGAGTTGTTCTAAGACATAGGTAGAGGATCTGTGGGGGGCTCCAGGCCTGAAACAAAGCAGAAAACACATGAAACTGAAGGATCTCTGTAGGCCTGGGTCACAGAACAAAGGCAGAGGCATTAGGGGGTGTGTGGTAGAGGGCATAGACTATCAGTACCTCCAATTTAGCATGTCAATAAACTGAAGTCATCTCCTGTTTCCCAGACTCCATGTTTTAGCAAATAGAATAACTATTCTCTCAAGTATTTAGACTCCAAATGTTCATACTCTTCAACCCCTCCTTCCCTCATTCCCCATACCCACAATTGCAAAGTCTTCATGGGCTTTTTTTTTTCCTCTAAGAGCTCTACATCCACACTGTTCTTCATTATTCCCTACTGTGTCAACTTCCTCTTGGTTCAGGATCTCATTATCTCCTGCCTGCATGGCTGGAATATTTCTTAAAATGTACTGACATTACAAAGACAGACTGTTATAGTAGCCTCTTCCCTGGTCTTTCTTTCACTAGTCTCCCCTCACCTCCCCCGCTCCAATCTGTTGGGTCCACATTGCTAGACTAATGTTCCTAATGCCACTCCCCTGCTCACAAAAAAAGATGTCATGGCTTCCAATCACTTCAGCTTCACTCCCTAGGTATGCCATGATCTAGTCATCATCTGCCTTACATCTACCACGGGCTTTTCAAGCTCTCATACTTTTTTTCTTTTTTTGTCCATGCTATTGTCTCACCTGGAATGCTCATCTTCAGGCATTTTTGTGTGTATGCTATACATGTACTATGTACTTTGTACATATTCAAATTCTTAATCTTCAAAGTCTAGCAAATCAGTGAAGTTATCCTAAACACCTTTTCACCACTCTTTCTGTCATGTTCTTGAAACATCTCTGGTTGTGACTACATCTGGCTTTGACCTCACCTAGCTAAGGCCTCAGACTACAGTCCCCCTGTTCCTTCTTGCTTGTAAAGATCTGAATGAGGGGGAAGGGTTGGGGGGGAGATGGAAGAGATAAACCAAAGAGTTTATATGCATATATGCATAACTAATGGATATAGACAATAATACTGTGAAGGCGGGCTGGGAGTGGTGAGGAAGGTATGAATGGGGGAAAAAGAAGAAACATCAGTAAAAAAAATTAATTAGAGAAAAAAAAAAAGGTTTGTACTGCTTCCAGAGAATGGAGACCTAGTCAGTCAGGATTTCTATTCTCATTCCTGTTACTCCTCTTTCACTGGAGCTATATCACCTAACAAGAGACCTAGATTCTTTTTTCTTTTTTTTTTCAGATAGAGTGGGAAGGAGAGAGAGAGAGAGAGAGAGAGAGAGAGAGAGAGAGAGAGAGAGAGAGAAACATCGACGTGAAAGGGACACATTGAGGGGCTGCCACCCTCACGACCCAACCAGGGCCGGGGACAAACTGCAACCAAGGCGTACGCCCTTAGCGGGAACCAAACCCAGGTCGCTCCGGACCCCAGGCCAATGCTCTAACTGCTGAGCCAAACCGGCCAGGGCAAGGGACCTGGATTCTAATCCGAGTGTCAGATTCCTCAGCTACAAAATGGGGATATAATTCCCCATCCTGCCTATAACAGGTATTTTGTGAGAATTAATGTGCTAACAGGAGAGGAAAGGGGAAAAGTTAGAATGTAAGACTCCCAGCCAGATCTTTAAAAGCTCTTTCTGTTGGTTGCAAAATTTTGAGTATATATAGAAGCTTTCTATCCAATCAATCAAAAACTGTTTCCTGGGCCTAGTTGGCCAAGGTCACAGCTCTGGGTAGGGGTTGTAGAGGATGCAGGGATGAATGAAAACAGTCCTTGGGCTCCTTGCAGTTCAGGGTGAGGCTGTGTCAACTCCCTGCAAAGAACTACTAACAATATTAGGCAGATCTAACAGTTCAGAGTGCCATGATTTGTAAAAGTGGAGAAAGAAATGTCTGACTGGTGGTGGCCTCAGAAGCTTCACAGAAAGAATAAGGATTTGATGCAGAGTGACAGAAAGGCTCAGGTTACTATGCATCTGGCACTGAGCTAGGTATTATGTTGTTAACCCTCATAATACCCTATGAAGCAGATAATGGCATGCCCATTTTATTGCAAAGGTAACTAAAGATGGGCAAGGCTAAGTGTTCCATTCAAAGTCAAATAGCTAGTAAGAAGCAGAGATAGGATTTTAACCTAGGTCTCCTTTACTTTACTTAAAAGCCTATGAGCTTCTTACTTACTTCATGGTCTGCCGTACTTCATTACATAGCAACATGAAAGGAGGACCAGATAAACTCTCAAGTCCTGTCTACCTCAAAATCCAATTATCTGAATGCGGGGAGGAGGGTAAGGAGGTTTACTGCTGCTGTTTTCCCCCAAAGACTGTGATCTTATGGTAGATTTAGGGTCTTCTCATCTGGAATAGTCCACATATCTGGTAGAGGGCCTGGCAGGTATGAGACACACTAAATATATGGGGCACATGTGAGTGAATAAATGAATGAATAAACACCTGTCCCAACAGCTTTGTTCTGAGGTCTAAAAGCAAGGTCCAAAATCTCAAGCTTCATGTTCTGTCAGCCCCAGTACCTATAATATCAATATCTACTAATCTGTTGGCTAAAGGTACCCTTTTCTCATTCTTGTTTTCAGGAGTTAGGGGGGAAGCTAGGAGAGGACAGGATAAGAAGGAAAGATAGGTGGTTAACAGAGAAAAGTAA